CACACACACACACACACACACACACACACACACACCCTTCAGAAACAGTTGAGTAAAAAAATATCTTGTAAGATTTAGGTTATAATGCCAAGCTCCCCACCCCCACCCTCTGCCACTGCCCAAATTCACAACTTCCCTATACCCTAATTGGGGATTTAAAACCTTGTAAAAACAAATCTAAATTTAAACCATAGAAGGACCCCAAAAATCAAGGCAGGGTATACAAAGAAATAAGCTCGCAATAAAGCTAATTAAAATCCAAGCCATTGCACCAGTCAGTGGTGGCACACGCCTTTAATGGGAGGCAGAGGCAAAGAGGCTCTTCATGAGTTCTAGGCCAGCCTGTTCTGCAGAGCAAGTTCCAGAACAGGATCCAAAGGTACAGAGAAACCCTGTCTCAAAAAAGAAAAAGAAAAAAAGAAGAAAGAAAAAAAAGAAAAAGAAAAAGAAAGAAAAAAAAAAGCCAATCAATTGTAGCAAAAAAGATGAGCTAATATTGTTAAATGAGAATTTTTCTATAAGGCATACTCTACAGAAAGTAATATAAACCGGGTCTGCAGTTTTGTAGCCTAGGATTTGAGCTGAGCAACTCCAGCCTTCTACGGGTCTGCTGCCAGGCAATGGGCAAGGACACTGCACAAAGGACTTGATCTGCTTGTATGCAAGCAGTGGCTCAATTGTGAGGGCGGGCTACCTACCATTTCAGTATTTTAGAAATCTGCAAGCAGTATGACCACCAGTGCCTGCTGCTGCAAGAATATTCTAAACAGGAGCACTTCCCCGGTTAATTAACATAAGAACTCATCCAAATGAGAATTCAGCCAGTTGCCTCCAGGTGGGTCACATAAGCACAGCACAGGGACCAAATGAAAACAAAAGCTGGGGCGTGGGACTTCATCAACCTGGGCTATACAGTGAGACCTGTCTCAAAATAATAACAACAACAATAATAAGTCTGATGACTAACACACTGAGAGTTTCCTAACACCAAGCCCTCTGTTCACTGTCACTTTAATATCAAACTCTTTTTCTGGTTTTGTTTTGTTTTAGACAGGGTTTCTCTGTGTAGCCCAAGCTGTCCTGGAACTCGCTCTGTAGACCAGACTGGCCTTGAACTCACATAGACCCACCTGCCTCTGCCTCCCGAGTGATGGGATTAAAGGTTTAAATACTAGATTTTTGAACCACCGACAATCCTCAAATTGAGAAACTGATAGACGTAACTTAATATTCAGCGAGTGACAAGAGCTGGCGCCCCATCAGATGGGGCTGAAGACTGTCTCTGGAACTCCCAAAGAGGCAAACTGAGGCCTCCGCCCATGACACACTGGTCCCAGGGAGGAGACTTTTCCCCACTCAAAACCACCTGCTGGTTCTGGGGGTGGTGGGATTCCCCTCCTGAAAACACATCATTTTCAAGGCAACACCTCTCCCAGGGGCTCTGCCTCCCCCGCACCCTCCTTTTGGGCTACAGGTGGATCATATCCTGGCACTCAGAGCACAAACATGGGGCTCTTGGTGGTCCCACACTGCATTACAGGTTACTGAACTGTCCTGGTTTTATGTATCATCCTAAGTGAACTGGGTAATCCTTACTTACTTTTCATCAGGATTATTAAGGTTTATTATTTTATTTTCTCTTTGGTTGATTTCTTGAAATGGAGTCCTTGTGTAGCTTGGGCTGACCTCAAACTTCAATTTGAGATCTTTCTGCCCCAGCCTCAGGGGTAAAATATGCTGAAGCCCTGGCTCTAGCATTATATGGTATTATCCTGAAGTCCTTTCCGTTGCATCATGGAAGCAAACAGGTACTTAAGTATGCAAAAGAAACCATCTCCCCCTGCAGCTTAGATCGGACAACAGCAAAACTCTTCACCCAAACATACAAAGGTAACTGTGGGTTTGCCGGGTGGGAGGCTCGTGAGAGATAACCAACACACTGGCAGCTCTCATTGGAATCTCATACATGCTGGATGTACACAATGGAGGGACAGGCATTTCCCACTCAGGTTGTTTCTGAACAGGGCAGTTGGAAGGGTCAAGGCCTGGTGACCAAGACATCTGTTTACCCATTACAGAGTGGACCTGCTGGAGCTTTCCAGGAGAAAGTTTGCTAAACTTTCTAACCGTGACTGTGGTTAAAAGCTGAAGTCCCTTCAGAATCAGGCCAGCCCTCTCAGTGTACTCTGCTGTTTAAAACTGGCCTCAGAGAGCAATCGTGGGGGAATACCCCTACAGTCCCAGAGAGCAATCGTGGGGGCACACCCCTGTAGTCCCAGCACTCAATAGGCAAGGCAGGAGATAAGCAATTCACACTGAGTTTCAGTCCAGCCTGAGCTACAGGAGACTTTCTCTCAATAACAACAATAACAATTAAAAAAAAAAGAAAGAAAGAAAGAAAGAAAGAAAGAAAGAAAGAAAGAAAAGGAAAGGAAAAGGAGAAGAAAGAAAAGAAATTGGGCGGAGAGCATCCCCATACTGTTTAACTCCTGAGCTGGAGCCTCTGACAAAAGATGGCAATCTTCCTAGGCTGCTGCTGCTTTTTGAAGGACTTGCTCACTTTCATTCTATGCGTGCAAGACTTTTGCCTCCACAGTTCATCTTTATGCACTATGCCCACGCCTGGTGCCCTCAGAGGTGTTCTAGCCTCTGGAACTGGAATTACAGGTGTTTGTGGACCCCCATGTGGGAGTCAAAACTCAGATCCTCTGTTAGAGCAGTCAATGCTCTCAACCGCTCGCCGTGATGTCTCCAGCCCTGGGCTTCTGTACTAACAGAAAGCAATGGTGGTGAGCTCAAGTCTTCCTGAATTTACTGCGCATACTTGATGCTCTGCCATAGTCCTTAAGAAGCTGACTCTCTGGGGGTGTAGGCAGAGCTGATATATTTGGATGAACTTTATAGGGAAAAAAAGAAAAGGAAAAATTGGGGGGGGCAGAGACGAATGAAAGAAGCATAATGACGCCAAATAAACACAAATAAGTAGGACACTGAGGCCCACTCTCCCAGACTGCTTTCGCCTTTTCTGCCATGAGCGGATCTACATACTCCCTTCCAAGGTTCTTCCGTCTTCTCTTCAACACAGAGCATGGATGGGCTACCTCCTCCAGTGCTCCTGGGACGGCCTTATCTCTCCTGGCTTCCATCCACCTCGCTGGAGTGAGATTCCCATGCCTATCTCCTTCAGCATGGATCTCTTGCCTGGCCCTCCACAAAGCACATCCACCTCTCTTTTCAACATCTCCAGGTCATACCAAGTGGTATCAACTGGCATCTCAAACGTAGTATTTAGGTCCCGAACTGAATGCAGCTCTTTCGTTATTTCCCCGATTAATTAGTCCCCACAGTCTACTGATAACCTGAGGACCAACTAGACTCCTGGCTAAGTCTTCCCCAGCAGTTGTTTGGTTAGCCCTAAATCTCCCCAGCTTCCACCCATCTTCTCTCCATCCCCGAGCAAAGGCAGATGGCTACTATCTGCATCTGAACTACTGTTTAATCATTCTCAAGAGGACTCGCTCAGCAAACACAACTTGCTTTAAAGAGCCTACCTTATCTTCCCCATTCCTATCAAGGTTAAGTTGAAATCGTAACAACAAAATGCCTTTGTTACTTTTACAGGATTGATGCTTTGCAGCCTGGTAGAACCCCCAGCTCTAGCATTGAGGTCACAGCTCAGATATTACTTTCCCTAAGGAGCTTTATGTCTGCTGCCCACCGCCCCCCACCCCACACACACACACTCCTATAAAAACAAGCACTCACGCCTGTCTCCTCAGTGGTCTCAACACTGGGACAAGATACTGGTACCTCTGTACACAGTTGGCACTTACAGGGTCTCAAAACCAAACCATCAACTGTTTTTCTCCTAGGGAAAAAAGTTGACCTATTCCTGACTCTTATGAACTACAATCCCTATGTTGCATTTTCAAATATAACATAAGTCATTTAAGTGCCTGCTTCTTCTTTTTCTAACCTATGGTCCAAGCAGCCAAACACAGGGAGGGTTCCCAAGTTTAGAGTTCTTTCTCTTACAGCAGAACTTTCAATTCAGGACCTTGTTCGGATATGTGAGGAGTCCACAACTTCCTACTCAGTAAATTAGGCGTTTCCCAGAGCCCAAGTTCCTATGATTACTGTAATAGACAACCAGTACTTAGGGTTTTACGTGTGCTTTAAACCATAGCCACTCTGAGAATAGGCGCCACTGTCAGACTCATGGCTCTGACGAGGAACTGGGGCTCAGAGATATCAAATAACTAATTCATCTAAGGTTATAGAACCAGCTGTGAGGAAAGGAAAATTCAAACTTCAGGTGTTATGATTCTAGAGTCTCTACTTGGGCTACAGAAAACAGAAAGTGAATGTTGTACAAATGAATAAATACATGCATGTGAGGCCGTAGAGGTGGTGGCTCAGTGGTCAAGAGCTCTTGACTGCTCTTCCAGAGGTCCTAAGTTCAATTCCCAGCAACCACAGATGGCTTACAACCATTTGTAATGGTCTGTAATGGGATCAGACTCCTTCTGGTGTGCATGAAGACAGAACACTCATATACATAAAACACATGAATAAACCAATCTTAAAATATTTCCTCTTAAAGTGGCATCCCTATAGCTGCCTAATGCTATGGATATGGAAGGGGAAACAAAACCTTAAAAGTACATGCATATATGCACTATGAAGACGGTAAACTGGTCAGACTGCCCCAATTATGATTTAATAGTAAGTGGGAACTTGGATATCCCAAAATACATGCATATTTGATTCTCCACAGCCTTTATGGAAAGCATGGGATTCAAACGGGGTAAAAACGTTGTAAATTCTCCTGGGACCCACGGAGTATGACTTTTGCTCGGATCTCTTCCTTCCTCTTTGGGAGGAGAGCTTGCAGGCTCACCATCCTCCACTCACCGACATGACTAGCTTCCAACCTCCGGTAGCTAGGATACACAGCCAACATGAGATAAGAAGGGAAGACAGTCTGGCTGGCAGCTTACCTCCCTCAGCTCCAGTCTTTGGGCTACAGCTTCCAGGCTCTCCTGGCCAGTGCTCTCCACAGACAAAGTGAATTCCACAAACTCATTATTGAGCAGCTGGATCCGTGCAACCAGGCAGCTCTTGCTGGATACAGTGTAGCGCCGGGTGCGTTTCAATTTCAGTCCAAATGGCAGTGGCATCTTCTCCCTTCAACAGTGGAGGGACCAGGAAGGACCAATCCAGCAGTGATGGAGCTAAGCCAAAGCGACCCTCTGGTGTCAAAACAAACTCTAGCCTCCAATAGTTCATCCGACAGCCTCTGCCGCCATTAAAAAGCAACTGAGTCTCCAAAGGCCAAGTGATGGGGGCATCCACGCCAGCGCTGAAGAAAGAGAAAAGCAGTTATTATGGGCTTTGCTTTTAAAATTAAAAAAAAAAAAAAATCAGTGTAACTGAGTATGTAGGATAAGCTTTGCCTTTCTGATGGAATAAGAAAGGTCTAACTAGAGCAGGGAGGTGGCAGGAAAAGTTTATCAGGAGGGCTGAGGGTGGGGCCCAGAGTCAGACCCCACCCCTCATTTTAACTCACTCACTTCTAGTGATAGCAGCCCTGGCTGTTAGGATTAAATGAGATAGTGCCCAGCGTCTATACTCCAAAGCATTAGTGGTCATCTTGCTAGTTTGGAGGAAGGGTTGTTTTTTCATAGGTAACTCTTTCGCGTTTCCCGGTACTCAGATGTCTTCGGTTCCTGGTTGTGTATATTAAGTGCACAGCAAGAGCCACGGTCCTTCAGGCAAATTCTCCCTGAACCCCAAACGGGGAGAATAACCCCATCTAACATATAACAACTGAAATGAAGTGCTTAACAAGGCTTTCCAAACCCCTTCTGGTCCATTATTAACACCACCACAAAGATGTGAGTATAAACGAGTTATCAGCACCCTAAAGATGCTCGATCTCAAACCATAGCGCTTCTGAAAAGTGTGCTCTGGACTCCTCTCCCGGGTAGGGACACCTAAGGAGGCTGTGGACGCTCACCTAAAGAGAAGGGAGAGGACTTGAAAGCCATCCTGGTTAAAGAGGACAAGAGAGGCTGGGCAAGCCCATGAAGCCAAAGGCAGCAGAGCGCCTCAGCTTCCGATCCTCCCCTGGAGAAATGCAAGCTGTGTTGCCTGGCCAACCGGCAATGTCGGAAGCCTCGCAAGCGCCGGAACCCTCCGCCTGCGGCCCCGTTTCCGGGCGGACGTGCTCCGAAAGGACCGGCCCCCTGCGACCGGAGGAGGGAGGATTTAAAGGGGCTGGCGTTAGTCCTACAGGCAGGGAGAGGTTGGTCGCGCAGTTTGAAGCTGTATCCACGTAACAGCACCCCCAAAACACGCTACGTTTTTAACCACACTTGTTGATGGTAACTTCTGCGGTGAGATAAACTGGGGGCGATCGACAGCTCGGGATTTTATGTCAACTGGAGTTATTTTCTCCCGAACAGTTTGACAAAAATCTCAGTTATTTCCATCCCTCGCACGGCTATCAGTCCCATCTCCGCCCCTTCCTCCGGGGACGAATCCTTTAGCCAAGCAGGGTCCTGGCTGATTACCCGATTTGGGTGTGAGACTGCGCGGTGGGACAGTCTGTCCCTGAGCCTCACCAGGAAAACAGAACCCAAACAGAACCTCAACATTAGCAGCTTTCTCGGTCTCATACTAATATGGATCTAGCTGGGTATCCTCCGATTTTCTCCATCACTCCCAGCCATTGCTTTCTGACCTGCTCACCAGTCTGAGACTCAACCCCAGAGGTTATGAACACCCGGGCCTGCGGAAAGACTGAACTAGAAAGTGAGGTTTAGACTTTGCCAACTAAAGTCTTGGAATTCCATTCCACAAATATGTACTGCGTGTCAGAGCACAAGACAGCCTGATGAGCATCTTGAGGAAATCTAAGACGAATCCTAAGCCGTCTCTGCCCTTAAGGAGATTACAGGCATCTATAATTATATTCAGAGCTGTATCACTAATAGGGTCATGGCCAAGGTTTCTAAAATTTTTGTTTATGTTTTGCTTTTGAGAGCGATATAGTGAGGTGATCTCCCTGCCACCATTGCAGAAAGATAAAACAAGGGGCAGAGGAATGCCAGAGGGAAAAGTGGAAAACTACAGCATTATGTTAATATTTGCTGAATGCCTTCCTTGAGTAAAAGCATTACTCCGCAGAAGGAATGGGGAGGGAGACTATACTAAGAGATAGTCTCTACATGCAATATTTTTCAAAGTTCTTTGTTGTTCCCAGAACATAAACAGATGAATCGGATATGGGGGGGGAGCAAACACACACACACACACACACACACACACACACACACACACACCTTAAACAAGCTTTTAACTAGAAGATACACCAATAGCGTTCCTGTAAAATTTAAAACAAAAAAATTATGGATAGCATGCATAGTATTATCTCAAGAGACAAAGTAGTAGATTTCAGTCTTACAAAATGTGATTAACTGGAAACATTAAATAATGTGTATAAAAAGACAAAGTTTTGTATGTCCAAAGGAAAGACATTTGATTTAGGTACTGCCAAATGTGTTAATTTCTTTACTATAAAGATGGAACTATGCCTTAAACACAGCATACTACACTATATAACTTAATTATTAACTTAAGTTCTGATTAGGTAAACTCAAATTTCCAATTGCCCTGAGATTGGAAATGGTTTACAGCATCGGGGATGAGGAAAGCCAATGTGTTTTTCTTTTTGCAGCTGTTATAATATGACTGCCATATTTCTGTGTATTTCCTCCTATGAACCTCTGGTTTCTTGATTCCTCATATAAAACCCCACTGTGGCAAAAGTCCTGCTTAGTAACTTTAAATTTCATAATTGGTGAATATATCTTAATGTCATACATTGTGTTTGACAGTTACAGCCAAGAAGTAGAAATTTAAGGTACTCTGAGAAGAGCTAAGGTATCAACTACTAAATGTAATAGGGTATATTTATTACAGAATAAGAAAAAAAGGTATGTTAAATTCTGCTTCATAAGATTTCAAAAGGCGGCCTGCTTCTGTTAGTGAGTTCATTTTCATTTTTCTTGTCCATACCCTCTTTCAAAGGTTTCTCAAACTCACTTTTAACCCTGAATCTTACGGGACACCCCACCCCGTCACTCGCCACATGTTCATGGAATTTTGCCACTATTCCTTTAGCATTAAATAATCACTGAAAAGGAAGTATCTGGCATTTTTAAAACGTTTTTATCTTAGTGCTTTCAACAACGCACAAAACAACATGTGTGCGTTGACAATCTATAGTTAAACGGCCTACAAACGAAACAATTATTTTCAGAGTGAAATTGTTGTGCCCCAAACTAAAAATGAAAGAAAAAAGAAACCTGTCAGTAACTATTAGACAGACATACTGCAGTTGTCACTTGGAGCTCATACGTGGTCAGAACGTGTCTTCTAGCATTATCTATTATCATAAGGCTTTCTCGACGGGGGAGAAGGGGCTGGGGAGAAGACCAGCATGCTCAGAGCAGCCAGTCTAATCCGGGTTTGCAGAAATCACAAGTCGAAATTTGCAGATCCAAGAATTCTCCGGGAGTAAAGACTCTTTACTCCAAACCGAAACAAGGAGTTGCCGAACAGTCCCTTTATGCCTCTTGTCGCCCAAGTTATCGGGCAACTTTCACACTCCACATATTCCGAGAAGCATAAACATGCCCAAGATTTCAAACCCTGATCCAGAATTAAGCCGCAGCCATCCGCGGAGGAGTCCGGAATAGAAGTTCCAGACTCTTTTTAGAAATGACTCGAGGAGATCAGAGCGAGCCTGGGAAGGGAAGACTTCGCTCTTTGTTACGCCCCTGCCCGCGTCCCCCGCGCCTCACCTGCTCCGGCTCCCGCCGGGTCGGGGCCGCGCGCCCGCTCTGCGTCCCGCCTCCCCAGGCTCCCTCCGCGCGACCGCCGCTCGCCGGTCCGCGTCCCGGGCCCGCGCTCCGACCGCACACCTTGCCCGGAGCCGCCGGACCGCTGCGGGACTCGCCGGGGAAGCTCGGGGGCTGGGATCGGAGCTGCGGGGCCCGCGTCCCTCCCCCTGGGCTGGGCGCGCGGATCCGGGGAGGCGGCGGCGCGTGACCTCAGAGAGCTGGAATGCGGGCGGCAGGGCGCGGGGGAGGCCGGACAGCTGCGCCCGGCCGGCCGCCGGGGAGGGGGCGCGCCGCTGCTGTTTTTAACCGTGTGACCAGTTATTTTAAGTTTCCAAGTGAAGCGAAGCTTTAAAATACACTCATATATAAAAGGAGGGGAGGGGGACGTTATTTTGGGTCAAGGTAGAAAGGGACCTGGTGCTGTACGTGCGTGGTGGTCTGGAAAGTAACTGGAGGTTTGCTGAATTGGGTTCAGAACGTTCCACATCCCCCTTTAGTGCCTGCTCCGCCAGTAAGTACACACTGCTCCTCCGTGGGGACTCTGAACCGAAACGTGGAGGGAAGTGAAAGGCTGACACAAATAGGAATGGGGCTGGAGGTTCTGCTTCCCCGGAATCCACTTGATAGGGAGCACAGAGGCATGCCGGAGAGGAGGGTTCCAGAAATAAGGGTGGCCAGGGAAGCCATTCTAGACCTAAAGTTGTCATACCTGAGCTTTACCTTGGGGACCACTGAGAAGGACTGACAAACCCGAGGTAGTCATGGGAGCAGCTCTAAAGGGAAGGAAACTGGGGAGTTGGCCCCACCCCCACCCCAAACAATTGAGACCTCCCCGGGATCATGGTCCCCCAGAGAGAACTGTATGCATACTCGGTGCAGGCTGAAGCTCCGGGGTCAGATTGTTGGGATTCAAATCCCAGCTCCAACCCTTACTGGCAAATTCCTTAGCCTCCGTGGAATTAATTCCTCTCCTAAAATGAATGATCGTTATCCAGTAAACGTGAGTAAAATATATGTGAAAGGTTTCACTCAATTCTAGGCCCAGCTACTATTGCTTACCATTATGTTGTATTTTTTGCTACCCTCATCGTGGGCACGTGGCATCAGCTCCTCCGTATTCTCTCCCTTTGAGCTACTCCCATGGTTACCTCTCTGCTTTATTGCTCGTTTTCTGTGCTCGCCCAAGGTGAAATTCAGCTAGTAGACCTCTAGGGGTGATCTTAGACTGGCTCCCTAGCCACCCTTATTTCTAGAACCCTTCTCTCCGGCATGCCTTCAGCTCCCCATCAAGAGGATCTGGTGGGCATTTCCAGACCCCTCCCCTTTGGTGTTCCCCTCCAACTCAGTACAGGACTTCCAAGGCACTTGGGAGGATTATTAAAAATTGTTTCACGGAGGCTTCTTTTATTTCTGCTAGAATTACGAGGGCAGTTCTGGGCAGACAGTAGGCACTAAATAAAAACGTGTTAATTGAATCGGGAAGAAAATGAAAGAATTGTAAAAATAGAAAATGACCATAAAAGCCAAGTGATGCTTTAGACAAGTGAGCTGAACTTCTTCAGTCTACAAATGTCATCTCCCAACCAGGCACTTAGGTTCTATTTTTCCCCTCAGTCACATTAATTGGGCAGAAACATCGCCAAAGGACAACCCTTCCACCATTAGCTTATATTTCCTACCATTGGGAGTGAGGTCATTTATACAGGTCAACCCCAACATATACAAAATTTGATCCCTATGTATCTTTACAGAGATATGGACTATCTTGCACACGTATGTACACATACCTACATCTTATTACCCAGAAAGTGGCACTACATCATACCATCATACACTCCTACAATTGAGGTAATTCTTTTCTTTCTTTTTTTTTTTTTGTTTTTTGTTTTTTGTTTTATAGAGAAAGGGTTTCTCTGTGTGACCTTGGTTGTCCTGGAACTCAAGCTATTGACCAGGCAATTATTATTATTTATTTTGGTTTTTAAGACAGGGTTTCTTTGTGTAGTTTGGCTGTCCTGGAACTCACTCTGTAGACCAGGCTGGCCTTGAACTCAAGAGATCTGCCTGCCTCTGGCTCCTGAGAACTGGCAGTAATTCTTATTAAAATATACAAATACAAATTAGAAAGAGTGCTGGAAACATGGAAACATGATAGTTCAGCAGGTACGAGTAAGCACTATTCTTTCAGGGAACTTGTGTTCAATTCCTAGCTCCCATGTTAGGAGGCTCACAACCTATAACTCCAGCCCTGAAAGGGACCCAACACCTAGTGTCTGCCTGTACCTGCCCTTGTGTGCACATACCTACCCCTTCCATGTACATATATACATATAATTAAAAATAAATCTTTAACAAAATGGTAGAAAGAAAGCCCTGATATAAAATGGCAAAAGACAAAATTATAAGCAGGGAGGAAACTGTGGTTGGGAGATCCACCGACTAGTATTTTTTAAAGTTGTATTTTTAAACATATGCATATGTTTGTTTATGTGTATGTGTGTGCACATGCGTGCACATGTCTTTGGAGGCTGGAAACAGACGGAATGACTGTTGCTGGAGTTGCAGGCCCAGTGTGGGTGCTGGGAGCCCAGCATGGGCCTCTGCAAGAACAGCGCATGTTCTTTACCCAGCTCTTCAGATAGTATTTTCTTAGGAGCTGAGTGAATTTGCTTTGGTATCTTAGTGACCATCCATCATATATTGCTTTATAAATTACCATTCCCTGTAAGAATCCAGACTGAAGGAGTTGCTTCATCCTACAAAGACAAGGATGCCTAGGAGAGAGGGTGAAGATAAGAACTAACAAATGTGAGATGCTGGAGCTGGAGAGATGTCTCCATGGTTAAGAGCACTTGTTGCTCTTGCAGAGGACCCCGGTTCAATTCCTAGCACTTACATGGTGGCTCATAACCATCTGTAACCCTAGTTCCAGTGTCCCAACAGGCGAAGTCACCTTTGTGCCTGGAATCATTATCTCTGACTCCCTCCCTCGCTCAACACTGCATGAGGTACAATACACACACACATTCAGGAATCGTGATTTTTGCGGATCAGTTCTCTTGGACCTCAAGAAAATTATTTTGGCCACATTTTCATTTAAATGGGCAGGACAGTAGAAAGGGAGCCATCCTCACAGCCACAGTGATTGGTGTGACAGCGATTCCCAACACACAGGGACTCTTTCTAAACAATTTTCATTTATTATTATTGTGGAGGGAGGTGTTGCAGGTTGGAGGACCACTGTATGGAGTTGGTCTCTCCATCCACCTTTCCTCGAGTTCCTCAGATTGAACTCAGGTGTCCAGACTTGCATCATGGGAGGTGAGCACTGTTGCACACTGGCAACATCTGCAGATTTTGATCCAAAAGCAGACAAACCATTTGATTTTGTATTAGCAACCAGGTGTTTTGTATGGAGAAAGACAAATAAGATGCATGTCTCGCCCCCTCAAGGAACTCATCCTGTGAACAATAGGCAAAGTTAAGTAAGAAGATTTACACAAAGGTATAACCCAAATGGATTGATGATGCCTAGTTAATCAATGTGAGAATCCTCTGTTTGAGTCTGGAAAGACAAATACAGGTCACTAAACACTCAAGGAAAAGAAAAGCATTCCAAGCTGGGGAAAACCCACCACCTCTGCCTGCCTCCTTCCACAGAAGGGTAAAGCAGTCGATCTCTCCCCCTCCGTTCCTCCCTCTCTCACTGTGTGTGTGACACACACACACACACACACACACAGGCATAAAATCCAACTGAGCCCCAAGGGGAGGCTGGCTGTCCACACAGGGGGGACCATTGTTTGAGAACTTAGGACTTTGTAGAGCAGGAGTTGGCGCTCAGGCCCTGCCAACTTCATAACCAATGTCTTTTCTCTGTTCTCTCCTCTATTTGGAAGGTAGCCAAGAACCCTCTTAGCTGGCACTGTAGTTCATTGTGATCTGGCTCACATACTATCCCTTAGGAGAAAAATATGCCATTTGTCATGGGCCAGTTTATTCTTTTGCAAGACTAATACTTCCAGTCCCTTCAAGGATGTGGATTGTGAGGCTGCATCTTACAGGGAAGCACCCTGAACAGTCTCCAGTTCCTAAGTGCCCTTGGCTTAGTGGGGGCATTCTCTCAATGACTCAGACTCCATATCATCTGAGATCTGAACCTGTTTGAGTTCTCAAATACTGTGCAATTCTCTTCCATAAGTGTAAGCTGGCTGTCTTCAACACCTTTAAATAAATTCCCTGTTATAAACTAAGAACAAAACAGAACAGGATTTAGCTGTGTGGCTTGATGGCCTTGAATTCATGATGCTCTTGCCCCAGCCTCCCAAGTACTGGGACTGTAGACATGTGCCACTGTGCCTGACTTTGGGTACTCTGTGTGTGTGTGTGTGTGTGTGTGTGTGTGTGTGTGTGTGTGTGTGTGTGTGTAAGCCAGAAGTGGGCGTTGATGTTTTCTGCAATTGCTCCACATCTCATTTCCAAGAGAGGCCCTCTCACTGGACCTAGAGCTTGCAGATTTGCTTACACTAGCTGACCAGCAAGCCCCAGGGATTTCCCTGTCCCCAGATCCCCAATTCTGGGATTACAGGCACAGGACACCATGCCTGTTTTTTCACATCGGTGCTGGGGGTTATTCAGGTCTTTACATGTGGCAAATACTTAACTGACTGGTCCGTCGATCCAGGCTTCTGAATAATGGAAATGCTCTCGGATTTTTTGTACAAGATTTTCCCAATGGTAACTATATTGTCGAATGTTAATTTCCTTAAGTTGCAATAATGGCAAAACATGTTCCTGCTCTTCGTTATGGAATGGTGGATAAAAGAATAGGAAAAACAAACAAACAAACTTACCTATCTTTTCAACTATGTGATAAGCACAGAGATGTGGTCCTGCTCATCCATGTGCTCCGGCTTCTAGCTCAATGTCTGGCTCAGTGCAGGCATTTAATTTTTAATCAACAAACAGAATGCTGCTGGGAACCCCGCACAGCTCAAAATGCTTTGCAAATATTAACTTACCTCTGCCTTCTACAGAGCCTCTGTAGGAGAAAACAGTCTTTTATCTATGCTACAGGCAAGGAAACTGACACAGAAAGAAAAGCAACTTGCCTAAGGTCTCAGAGAGAGTGGCAGGACTCCACTCAGACTCAGTGTGACTCCCCCGGTCCCTGTTCTCTGC